AAATTTCCGTAATATCCAACAAACGGGGTGACGAAATCTTGTAGCCCCGATAGAGCTTACAAAGCTCCTCCCTAATCCTTATATATATATGAAAGATCTCGAGACAGATAGTTGAGTTCAGTTTTACAATCGAGCAGACAATACATCTCATCGCTTATCCTCCGCCACCAACCCACAACCAACGATATCTTCGCATATCCGCCACCATTGGACAACAAACTACGATATTCTTCTATCCACTAAATACATTTCCCGTAACGTATTCCCAACTCAACGACCTATAAACTTACCGACAGTCAAATTATTGTCCAAGTTAACGACAAGGAGTTTGTTAGTTGACCATATTACTAGCTTTTTGTATAACTCGTTTATCATTGCTTACCAATTCATCGTGTTATATACATGCATATTTTATACCCTTTTTCTTGTTGTTAACTAGTAATATTGTGCAAGAACAATATTACCTCCCGAACAAATCTGTATCGCCGAGAAAGGAGTTCAAGAGAAAAACTATTTCTCAACAGATTTCAAATTCGATGGGTTTGACTTTGATGACCTTCCTCATTAGCGAAATGTTCTTGTTCTAACAACCCTCCATTACTTGTGAATACTTTTAGATGGGATACATTTTAATGATAATGATAGGATTAAAATGTTCAGTAACTCACGTCACTGTTACCCCAATGATCTTATAAATTCCAAATTTCTCTACAGTATGCACAAGAACGAAAGTTTCAAGCATACGGCGATATTTTAGAAACTTTAAGATAGCCTTGGAAAATAACGAAACGAAAGAAGACGTCCACAGACTCAAAAATACTCATAACTGATGAATAGAAAAGGACATTCGAATATCTATCTATGCAAAACAAATAAATAAACTTCGGTATTTTACAAGAACTAACTCGAGAAATATTCTGAGACCATTCGATACTAAATCCTTTTCAATTAAGTTAAACGTTTCGCATAGCAATTCACGGTCTTCGGCAGAAAGCTTGTTTACTTGAATAAGTAGAAAATCACCTATAATATTGTTAAAGTTTTTTCAAAATATTTTAATATTTTAAAAATTTTAAATTTTAATATTCAAACCAAGCCATTATTTATGTTTTAAGCTCTTAATTAACACCTAACTCACGGCAGTTTCATATTTTAAGTGAAGTATTTTCATATTAAAAATTAAGGAACCAACTACGGATGATTCAATTGTTTCTAGGTTTCGAATTGGATTAAATTATTGACCATAAAATGAATATATTAGTAACAGAATCAGGACCGCCAGAAGAATCAACTCTTTTCAGTTTCCTGCATATGACTTACTGCTCAATGGAGCTTTCTGAAAGTCTTCCTGAAAATTAGAAATAATATGAATTTAGAATTATATTAGTTTATAGAACATTTTACTCGTTTTTCTTTGATTCAAAGTGGGCGTTTGTAGTTGTTGAACATCACTTTGGTCATCTCTAATGTCGCCCAAATAAAGTGATCGATACATGAAGGAATCAGTTACATCGGTTCAATGTGATAATTTACGGAAAATCTCCTCCTAAAAGAAGTAAAACTTTTATCAAACAGTGAAGAAACAGGCTTACTGGGAGGAAAAAGTAGCACTAAGTCATCAAATAGTATTTTCTGCTTCTCTCCTGAAACTTTAAACTTCATTTTCAAATTTTTTTTTTTAAGAATATCACAACTGTGGTTCCTCACCTTAAATCCATTACACATTACTATTAAAAAACAAAAAAGATTCCAAAATCTAATCCTTTGTGACTGAAAATAAAATCAGTGTTCACTCATTAAAATTCATAATTGTATCAGACCAAGCTACTATTGATTCAGTCACTACTGACTTCATGAAGGTTTCTTCTAATTTAGCTACTACTAACTTAATACTTCGTGAATAAGTCTCTTCTAATTTTCAATTTATTGCCAATGAAGCCATTTAACTTTTAACTTCTACAGGTATGACAATTCCTAGATAAGAAAAATAAGCACTAGAGAGAAAGAAGTCTTCATGAATAAGTCTCTTCAAATTCATCGATGTCACGGGAAGTAATGAAAAAATTGCGTGATTGCGTGACACTTCTCATATCTGAAAAATAATATATTCGTAAGAGAGGAAATTCTAACTACTTGAATGTTATTTATAAAATTTGTGAGAGAATTAGAAGTAATATATAAAATATTGACCTTATTATGAAAGAACAGTCAAACTGTAGCCATATCCAACTTAAAATTATGGGAAGAATTACGAGAAAGTATTTGACAGGAAAACAATATTTATGTTAGTGGCATCAAGAGGAGTAATTCTGCTTCCGATTTCCAACTTTCCTGAATAAGTTATAAAAATTTTCTTCTAGTTTTTCTTAGTCTTCTCATTTGAAATATATCTGGAAGTCGCTTTGCGCTACAGTCATTTTTTCATTCCCAGTTGATCCCTGTCCACTTTCATGCCTTTTCAAAATCTAAGCATAACTTAATCTAAGGAAACTTACAGCTGCAGCTTTTAAATTCAGAAAATTTAATTTCCTTCATTAATTGTTTTCTTCGAAATCCTTTACAAAATATTTTTAAAAATTAAAACTTTTCTATATTCTTCAAAAATTTATTTTTCATTAAACAAATAAGATTAAACGATGGTTACTTTCTGCGATAATCGTTTAAAATTGCTGAAGTTATTTTGTGAAAAGTTCCTTAAATTATGAAAAGCTTTTTGATGATCTATAATTATGAGAAGCTACGAGTTTCTGCGTATATAGCAGTAATTTATTTTAATTACCAGTTAGCATCCTTGAAACCTTCGTCTATTCCGATTCCTTCTATTCTTTTCTATTTCAAGTTTTGAATCTTTCTTTTACCGCGTCTGAATGATTAGAAGTATCACCATCATATAAAGCGGTGAAGTGTCATTTTCATTTTGTTGGAATTATTTAAGCGTTGAAAAAAAGCTGAAGTTTACACCTTATTGGATATTTTATATTTATTATTAGCTCTTTCTACTCGACAAATTCCGCCTTTATAAGAATTTCAGCAATGTCAATTTCTCCTTTTTGCTTTTCCCTCCTGATTTTTACTTCTAAAAGTCGAATTTTTCCCTATATTTTTCAAAAAATATTAAAAAAGATTGGGGTTACATCAATAACTTCTAAATCGAAAATGCCAATTCAGTAATGAATTTAAATTGAACTAATAGAAGTAGAACAAACAACAGTACCGATAGAAAACACATTAAAATTATGCCAATTTTTTCCCAAATGACATTTTGCAAGCGGTTTATAATTGAAGCGTTGAGTTTAAAAAACTTCTAATAATGTTTAAACTTCGATCCAAAACACATTCGTGGTCACTAATCTTCTGGTCATTTTACATTTCATTCGCTATTTCCCTCTCTAAGATTATTTGTTTTTTGCATTAATTTGCCGTGTCAGATTGCTTCCATTTCATGATTAAAATTTAATATTACGTGCAAGAATTGATTAATAATAGGTAAACAAAGATATCCAAAAATTTAGCAATTAATACTTATGCATGCAATCCATGCCTCCTCCCTCAATTCCCTTAATATTTCATTGAGCACTCCGCTTTAAATTAATTAGAATGCGCGAGAAAATTGTTTATGCAGTATCAAATTTCTCGTAAATTGATCTTTCTACAGTAAACTCTCCTATTCCATTGAATTGGTTTCCAATTCACTTTTTTTGCGCAAAACTTTAGATTAACACAAATTTATTTTTAGTCTCAATTACTGTTAACTTCGTTTCGACTTTCCCAAGTCGAGTTTTGAGCACCAATGAGAACTAGAATATAATTATTTGTTGCTTACTTTATGCACACTTCTAACATTTTAAGTTGTTTATTAGACTAAAAATCGGGGAATGCTACTGTAGGATCATTAATGGATCATTAAAAGTGCTATAGTACTTTTAATTATTCACATATATATCACTACGGAAGTAGAGAGTCTTTCTTTTAAAAAAAGTTGAAAAAAAATCTTTCCCAGAATTTATTTCTTGTAAATTTATTCGAAAGCTTCAAAATGAATTATAATTAGTTAGTGCAGTACGGTAAATTTAGTTAGAAGTGGACATAATTAAGTAAAAAATAGTATCTGAAAGATTTAAAAAAATTTTAGTGCGTCAGATATTTTTTCTGAAGTAGAAATTCTTCAAAGCGAATGTTCAAAGAGCCATTTTATATCATTCAAATTTAATTTTCAGTAATAACGTCGGAAATTACGATGGAATTATTCTAACTTAGTTGGATATTGACATTTTTCTTCCTTTCAGATCATAGGACTATTTTGACTGGAATGCAATTTCATTTCTCATATATTGGTAAAGTGTTGTGAAAAAATGAGTGAAAATATTTGTGAAGGAGTGTTCTAGAAAGTCTTCAAAGCATGCAATCGATCTAAAATGAAGCTTATATAATTGCAGCTTTTTCGTTTCATTTCTTAAAATTGATTGAAATCTCCAGATAGAAAGGAATCGGAGTTATGATACATTCATTTTCTAGTGAAATCACTGAGTGATATCAAAATAATTTCTCCTAGATTTTTGAATTTTTTTTAATTCCAAGCATTTCAGTTGCATTTCGAGCAGTGCAGTATTAAATGGAAATTAATGTATTTGTCGAAGAGAATTTCCTTAGCCATAAAAAATTTTTTCTCACCTAATTCCTAAATGATTAATGATTTTCAATTAATTTGCGCTACATTGTTTCCTTGATATCTTTTCATTACTTGAAATAATCAATTATATTATCAGATTTTCTTGCCATCTATTTTTTGTTGTTGGGAACAATTTCGTGTTACAAGCAAAAAACTATCTCGAGTAATTGAAATTTTTTAGGAGGAATTTTAGAAATTTAAATGATTTCGATTTCGACTAGCTTACTTGACTTTAACGAAAATTTAAAAGTACAGAAGGCTTGTAACCAAATATTATGCTTGCTAGTTACTTCCAAATATTATGCATGATGCACCAATAATCGAATACTCGGGTCTAATTAATGCTATTAATGTAATTCGTTGAAACCATCGAAATACCTAAAAGGCAATAATTCAAATAGATATAGTTTTTCTTCTGCAACTATTTCAAATATAACTTAATGAAGTGCAAACATCAAATGAAAGTGAGAATGAAGAATTGAATGAGACTAATTATCTCTTCAATATAAATAACTATTTTTTTAAATTAAATTCAATGCTTTTAGCGTTTGAATAGTTGGCCAAGTAAGTGACGACATTTAAGAACGGAAGAATTTATTTGCATTTATATGTTGATGAATTTGAAATTGATTAGGCGGAGCTGTTTCACTCTGCTTGTATTAGTATTGAATTTAGCGAATGAAAATGAGGTGAAATGAGTGAGTCACAGAAAGCTCCATCCTTATACGAAGCTAATTTTATTCAGTTTAGCACAACCGTGATCGTACAAATTGCGAACATGTTCTCCAATTTAAAATTGAAATTCTGCTAATTTCTTCCTATCCACAAGAATATACTTTTTCCATTTTTAATTAATGTATCTAAAATTTAAAGAATTTTTTAATATTTATTCAAATACCATTGAAATTACAAATACTTCCTTGCGTATCATTCGATATCACAATCTGACCAATCATTCCAAGTCTACCGATCTACCGATTTCATGTATTTTCTAGTTTCCAGATTGAAATTATCCGTCAAAACGTGAAACAACGTTGTTTTATTTGTTCGAGAATTCCTGAATAGGATTCGGTGCTTTGATGACTTACAGCTATTCCTGCTATTATTCCGTGATAAAATTCCAACATAGGCACTGACTTGGTCACATCCTATGCCTATAACAACCAAAATGATTAATGATAATGCTAAACGGAATCAGACAAAAATCATATGATTGCTGCCGGATAGATAGATTGATATCAGTTTGGTGGTGCAGCCATGACATGCATCATTATTTTATTCCTAACAACGTTTTATCCACAGTTGAGGGCATTAAGAATGAACGATTATCCATGGACATATGATAATGACCTTTTCGGAGGTAATTTTATTGTGCACATAAATTTTATATTAAAACTCAATAACCATCGAAAAATACTTCGTCTCATTTTTTCCTTCAAAAAAATTCATTACATTTTGAAGTGGAATTTTCGAATTTTTGTAGGACCCGACTTCTGGGGTTTATTGAGCAAAAAATGGCAGATGTGTGCGAAAGGGAAAATGCAGTCGCCAATAAACATCAAACCTGCATCGATCTTATTCGATCCTCGACTAAGTGACATTAAAATAGATCAAGTGCCGGTAAGCTTTTTACGTTTTATGGTTGAAAGACGTCTATGCTTCTATGGAAAGACTAAATACCGTCTAAATTAGACGAAATTTTACGAGCACTTGTTTTTAACGCTCAACTCTTTGTACTTTTGTCATTAAAACAGGCTTTAAAAAATAGATTTCAAGTTGAATCAAATCAGAATATTAGTTTTTGATCAAAATTTAGATGAAATGAAACTTATATCAAAACGGGATTGGATATTTTCCATTCCTGTCAGCTTACTCACTGATTGTGTTGCATATCGGAAGAACTTTTTCAGGTCTATGCGACTTCTTACTTTGACAGAAATCCCTTAAGCTTGAAATCAATTTTGTCGGTTTGATATTTTAAAAAATGTGTTGTATGTTCAAAGCTTAAAATAAAATTGCTGATTGAAATTAAATCATATATGAAGTCAACACGAAAAATATTATTTAATTCTTCTATAAATCGATGGTTGGATCAAGAAGTGCATTTTTTTTACCTATTTTTCATTTTGTCAGAAATGTCCTCCGTAAAGTACTGCAGTCACAATAAAACAATACAACAGTTTTCAGGTAACAGCTGAAATGATAAACATAGGTCAAATGCCACGATTGCGAGTACTTTATGACGTTCATTCCTCTTCAATAAACATTACCGGTGGACCGTTGCATCCTTATAAGTACCGCTTACAAAGGGTCGATTTTCATTATTCAAATGATGATATGACAGGTTCGGAACATGCTATCAATTCAAGAAGCTTCCCTATGGAGGTCTCTTTTACCCTCCATTTCCAAGTTATAAATTTTCGTGTTGAAAATGCCGAATATATATTGCAAATTATAATTATTCTGAAACAACAAATAATCCAATCAAAGCGATGTAACCTTATGAAGAGGTCAATTGAAAGAGATAAGTATAATGTCGGAAGGTAATGAACTGGAAACTATACTAAAGGATAGTGTACTGTTGTGACCAAAACAATGTAAATTGTTCCTACTTTCAGATTCAACTGATAACATATAACATCGATTTGTATGCAAATTTTACAACAGCTTTGACGTTGCCACGTGGAATCGCCGCTGTTTCGATCATCGTTCTAGTCAAGCTTGAATTTCCGATATAATTCTTTTATGATTATTGCAATTCTTTTATTTTTTAACTGTTCATTTTTGGAAACAATTCTTTGTAAAATTTTTATAGTGACTCAATTGTCACTGTAGTAAAGATTTGATCTTTGCAAAGTAATTGGTTCATTTCAAATTACTTCTCTATAGAAAAAAGAAAAACAAAGTAATTTAGTCAAACAAAATTTGTATTTCACTGAGCAGTTTTCCACTATTTTTAATGATAGAAGAAAGTTACAGATTGATGAACACACTAACGAAGAGCTGTTGAAGATCACCAAATCTGTTGAAAAAGTTCCTTTCAAAAGTAATGATTCGATTTTCTTCATCACCTGATCTCTCTTGAACCTTATAATTTGCAGAATTTTGAATTCCATAAGTTGGTAGCAATGCATAAGAGAAATTTTAGAGAAGCGAATCGCACTGCATGAATTGAAAGTATGGAAATTATTCCCATCTTTAATAGACTATGTGACATACGAAGGATCAATGACGTCACCAGGATGTTATGAAACAGTCACCTGGATCATACTTAATCATGCAATTCATATCACTCGGACAAATGTAAAGTAAACTTTTTTGTGGAAATGGACCGAAAGATCAGAATGAATATATATATTCTGGTAGAACTTGTTCCCATAGTCCCACAAAAGACACGAACCATGGTTGAACAAAGATAGAAAGTAGCCCAATTAAGCTGTTAAAGCCTAAACTGTTTTGTTTAATTGAATAATTAAGCCAAAATAAATTTAATAAATCCACGTGTTGTTCTTTTTCCCATCGCTAAATAAGGCATTTCAATGTCAAGTTTCAACGAATTACAGTTAAACAAATGGAGAAAATTACAACGGACCATCACGGAAGAAAAAGAGCCTCAGTTTGTGGCTCCCAATTTCAGGCCATTGCAACATTCCTACGGCCGTTTAATTCGAACTAACATTATCAGCAAAGTAAGTTATAAATGTTATCTCCCTTAATTTATCATGATTATTTTCATTCCGGCAGCAAGATATGCACTTTATGCTTTTTTATTATTTGTTTTTTATTATTTGAATCAATCAAATTGAATCCAGAGTTTGAAAAAATTTGTTGGTTGTTCGTAGTTTAAAATTAGATTGTTGATTGAAATTAAATTCATATGAAGTCAATATCAAAAATATTATTTAGATTCTTCTATAAACAAGCTTAAATTGATTATTAAATCAAGAAATGTATTCATTGATTTTTAACGATCAGTTTACATCAAGATGACGATTGTCGTTATGCTTCAATCAATTTGTCATATTTTGATCATTAGGCTGATCTCAAGTCACCTATATTATTCTAGCAAAATTATTTTAATACGCTGTCATTAACACATGTCGTTATATACTGTATGTTCAAATAATGGATGTGATCTTTGTCCTCCTAAAAGCATATCGATGAAATTGAACACAATGAAGTTTTTCACTACACCTTACAGTTCTAATCTTAAGTAATTCAAGTCGCCATTCCAGAACATTTCACTATTCTAAACCTAATCTATCTCACTTCTTTTGAGAATGTCAGCATGGAGTGCAAACGTCATATTATGGTTTCACGATATCGCTCAAATTTGGGACGAAGTTGAAATTTTTGGGAAATTTCTCAGTAATGATAATACCAGTTCAAACTTATATTCCTTAAGGTTACTTTATATAAAATATTGATTGGTATTATTAGTCATCATATTATATCTGTTCATTTTGTCATTTAGAGACGTAATTTCAGTGAAGCAAGTCGAATTCCACTGATTTAGAGAAATAAAGCTTTGCTATGTTTTGAAATATGCACTTTTAACAGATTGCCAAACGAAATGCAAATTTGCATTGATAAAACGCACTGGCAAGAAATAATTTATTTAGAAACAATTGTCGTAATAGTAGGAATTGAAGATCGTCGTGATTCAGCATTAAATATCCTTAACAGGTTACTGCTAACACTTGTTTGCTTTTGCAACTGCTCTTTTTGTTGACAAATTGAAAACCTTTGCAACTTTGGAGATCCATATTTAAAACTTGCTGCTACATTAGGAAACCAATGCTCTGCTACCAGCCTAGAGTTCATCATCACTTTCGGTAGACAGATATTTTCTATAGGCCTGTCTGGGCAGTTTGCTTGCACCAGTTGTTCCTTTTCGTGATTGTTAGCAGTACCCCTATCACAGAATGATAACGTTTGAGCACGCAAGTTATTGTTGGAATGTTTAATTGCAATAAATTCTTTCGATCTTTGGAACGAATATTCTCTGAAAATTAAGGCGCAATAGTAGACAATATGATGTGCATAGCCTTACCGTTTGTTTTCTTCTAAGTAATAAGATACCTGTCATCCTCCAAAGCAGTGACATATGATTCGGAGTTTTGGGGATCGGTGCTGATTATGGAGAACGACTCATAAGCCGAACAAAATGGAGAATCACTGTACTCTGATTCTTCCGCGATAGAAATTGGACGTACCAACACATTATTATCAGTTTCATAACAATCTCGTAAAGCAAACATATCTGATTGTATGCTCATCACAACGTTATCATAACTGAAATGTGCTTTGTGTTAATTATTTCAAAAAATTTTGAAAGTATGTTGGAAATGGGAAATAAAAAGTGCTAAACTCAATTCTTGTCATATATCGAAACAGATAAATTCAATAAGTTTGTTATTCATAAATGTATACTGTTTGTCACGCAACTATCGAATCTATTATGATTATTATTCCTTCTCTCTTTCCTATTTAAATTGACATATTTAGAAACATGAAGCACTTCCATTGTATTTCTGAATACCTTGAATAATGGCGGTGTTTTTTCAACAATTCAGAATTGGAAACGTTATTGGCATAAGATGGCAGTGGTCTGCAAAAAAATATCAAATCCACGAAAATGTTATGTTGTAAAGAAGCTATAATTGAAGAGATCATTAACATATAGTGGTAAAAGCCTATATAATTAAAGCAGAAATTGGTATAAGAAAACGATAGCAGAAGTGAAGTTAAACATTACATGACAGGAGGATTATCGTCAACCGAAATGTCGCCACTTGTGGCAAGGTTCGTCTTTGTGATGAACTCATTCTTAGCACTTTTGTCGTTGATGAAGTTCTTGCTGCCATTCGCTTGAATCCTATTCTGTTTCTGCTTGTTTTGATTTTGTGCTTCTTTCTTCCTCTGAAAATGTCGCTGAAGCACGACCTTAAACGGTTCCGAATACACAGTGGTAGGTTGATTCAACCATCGGTGCTTGAAAATTTCCAGTAAGTCCGGTCGTCTGGATGGTGTGACTGCAAGACATTGACGCAACAAATTTTCACAGTCTGAAATCAAACATGTGTGACTTATTTTTAGCAATTCAATCAATAATGACTAGTCAAAAAAATTAGTAAGAAAGGGAGATTTTGGAGGAGGATTGGAAGAGTCAATTTTAGGGCCTTCAAAAGAAATTTGGCAAATTAACTTTGTAAAGGTCAAGACAAAAAGATTAACGTTACATATAAAATGAACTAACCTTTTGAGATGTGTTTTGGAATGGTAAATCTGCCTAAGCAAATTTGGATTTCATTCTGAAAAGGCAGACATCCAGAAACCATGACGTATAGGACTATACCCAGTGACCATACAGTTGCTTCTAATGGCTTATATGTTAAACGTTTGAACCATTCCGGTGGGCAATATGAACGGGTACCTGAAATTTAGAAAAAAAATTCGAACTTTCAAGTATCCAGGTGTAATTCTTGTTGAAAAGTGGCTGGTTCAACCATTACAATTGACAGGCCTAAATTTCTTGATACACTATTTAAAAAAGGTATGCATAACTGGGTGTAATGATGTCCCATTTGCATGTGGCATGTGTAATGTTTATTCCTTGGCTACTTTAATTACGCATAGAAGCAATCTTCAAGGGGGCCACTACATCCAAAGGTGAATAAGTATAGCATATAGATATACTATATGGTTGAAGCGGTGAAGAGATCTTGCTACAAAAGTCATTTCAGGTCACCTTTTCGGGCTTAAGCCGTATTCTATTACAATCAACATTCAGATATTTGCATAAAAACCTTGGAATTCTTTGATACAAGCTTCAGAAATGAGTGCTGCAGCACCGAAATCCACCAGGATAGCTTCTCCTGTATGTATATTAATAATTATATTCTCATCCTGCAACAATAAATTTAGCTTTGCATTAGTCATTGACATTCGCAATTAAATTTAGTAAATTTCAGTAATCGAAAACAGAGATTTGTTTTAATTACTGCATTTTATAAATTCAACACTCTGTTAATCTTAGAGATGTCATCATTTGATGAAACTGCAGTACATCATATCTCTACAATAACACAATTTGTCTTTGTAAAATTTTCGATTTTATTAGATTTCAAAATCATTTTCAAACATAATAGTAACAAACACACGTGATCTTTCTTCCTTTACCGCAGTGGAAATTGATTTATCAATTATTTATATGATTCTTTAGAAGAATGAAGTTAAAATCAAAAATGCACCTTAATATCTCGGTGAAAAATGCCGTATGTGCTATATAACAAGCAAGTTGTATTCAAAATCTGTACAAATATCGACCTTGCAACATCCTCATCCAAATAACCATAAACGGAAATTAGATCGAACAGATCCAAGCACTGTTCCGGTCGTTCCATTACAATCAGAAATCCTTTCGAGCTGCAACTCTTTTTCACTTACCCAAATGAAAAAATTCGAAAAATATTAATGAAATCAATATATTTTTGTATGAATCACTACTTAGAAAGTGGCACTTGGATGTAGAAGGAAATAAGTGATACCAATTGTCATTTAAGTCATATTGAGATAAACTTCACAATTAAAATATCATTCATAATTAAATTTCTGTGACAAAAGAATGTAACCACTCCTTGTTTCTGAAATTTGAGACAATTTTCACGATGGGTATCACAAATGGTGTGATAATATGCCAAACATAAAGAACTTAGGAGTTATTAACTTCTATTCAAAAGACAATGCTTTCTTAAAATTCAAATTCCTTCCAGAAACTTATGCAATCATTTGGAGATTTGGAGTATTGCCAAAGATGAGATACTTAAAAATACCATACTTGGCAAACCAATCAATTAATTGAACGACGCCCGGTACACTGCGACACATCTCTAGCAAACAAATCTCTGTTGGAATTAATTGTTTACATTTCTGCAAATTTTAAAATTAAATGTGATAAAATAAATATTTTTTTTAGTGGAATGATTAAAAGAAATAGTAAAAAGCAATGCAAATTTCAAAAATGATTGAACATCGCAATAATGTGAAATCTCATTGCAAATGTGCATTTGACCAATAGTTTTTGAAAATGAGAAATGACCATAGTCCATTCTCTGACTCGCTTATGTTCAATGAATTTAACAGCAACTGGTGCACAATCTTCATTACGTTCCGCTTTGTAAACAATCCCGAATCCACCCCGACCAAGTTCCTCTAGCAATGTGTACTTCTTCCGAAATTGTTTTGCTCCATGTACTGCAATGAATTGATCCTTCTTTTTTTTGCAAAATATATGAACATTGTTTCTAAGCTTTTTTCCATTTCTGAAATGAAAAGTTGCCTGTTTGGATTTATTTCTATACTTAATCCCAATGGTAAGCTGTTTGCACTATAGAAGGATAGGAAATCCTTTATCTCATTTTAACAAATGAAAAAATCTGAGAGTTGGAAGTTTTGGAGGAAGCAAACCTTTATCGTTTAAAAAATTGACATTATAAGATATACAATAAGTTAGATCTTGCAATGTGCGACACAGCATACTGAAATGATGAAAAACAAGGAATGAGTCATATACCGTAAACTGCAACATGTTGACTAGCAAAATGATGACACTTGAAAAGTACTGGTATCTTTTTTCTTTTTTGCAAAAAGTTGAGAAGACTTGTAATAGCCTTGAGAAGAGCATACCAATGAAAGGAACTCACAAATACATTTGTTATTAGATAGGAAAAAAAATGTGAGAATGAAGAGAAATGTTACAGATTTGCAATAAATTTCTTTTCAGAAAAAATTTGCTGAAATTCGTTTGACAATGAACTGAAAGTTTTAGGAGGCGTAGTGCACTTGAATTTGAAAAGTTTCAATTTATGGAATGTCGATGGAATTGTATTTCAATAACGATGATTCGATTTAATTTTTTCTTGAATAAAGCAGTCTGGTAACATGAATTCTTAATTGCATTTTCTTAATTTGCACTAAATGGTGCCATTTCATTTTGCTGAAAAAATTCATTATTTTAAAAGTTCCGAATAACAAAATCGAATGGTTTTCCAATACGATTTACAGAAATATAACTTTTAACAAGGATTTTTACATTTACATGTTTATATGGCTCCGGAAAACTAACTTACCGGAGGAAATTTGATTAACTATATCGACGACGTCTTAGTTCACTCTTTTTCTTTTTGAGACACTCTTTTTGAGAACATCAAAGACATTCTATGCAATCCGGTGAAAACTGAACTTAATTTTCAAATGAATCCATTCCTCAAAACAGATACCTGTCAAAAAAGATTCCGCGAAGATGATTCTCCATTATAAAGTGAATAGAAAGTGAATATTTTCATTAATAATTAAAAGATGATGTGTACAAATAGGCTTTGAAACAAATGAATTTTGATTTAAAAAAAAAGTGGTGGATCCGCTTTTTTCTTCGAGAAAGATTGAAATCTTGGCCAAGCAATATGGCACGCTCCATCTATTGAGTCATTTATCTTATAATAGCGGTTAAAGATTGGGAATTTATCTTGAAAAGTCTTGCCAAAAAGTTTAAAAATAGTTGATAGAAATTTCAAAACAGGATGAAATAACAAATTTAAAATAAATCAAGTCTATGATTATATTTTATACTGATATATATCGCTGATATCGCTGACAAATATATGGGATTGATGAATATCTGATTAGAGATTAGTTATCCTAGAAATCCTGAGAATTGTATTAGTTGTAACTTAGTTCTGATGAATGACTCAGGGAACTATTACATCTGTGACTGAATATTGTGACGATAG